TGGTCAATACTCTCTGCTACATAAAATATTATACATTTAAAATTTTATGGTTAATTTTTGAAAGTTCTTCTATCTGGCATCAATTATTTGTCTAACCAATATATGACACTATCAATTGAGACTGTACACTGAGCCTAAATTAAATGTCTTTATAGGTTCAAGTAATGCATCAAGAGTACCTGATCTAGCTGGTGGCTACCATCATGCTATAGCTAATGGTTCMAGACTGATTGAGATCAACTATGATCCAAAACAAGGCAGATATCTCCAGGTAAACTACTAAGAAGCTAACTAAGGCATTTCATCTGTATTTTTAAAAACTTAATGGCAGCCAAATTATTGAAAGATGTGAGGGGAGAATCTTGATTCAATCCAATACACCCCCTCTTGGGGCTTAATGATTTTGACATGATGCAAATTACTAAAAACAGTGATGATAATGACGAATATTYATTGGATTACTTTTGTAGGCTTCAGAAGAAATTCGTGCTGGAGATGCACTTATAGCTGAGAAACCTTTTACTGCTGTACTGCTACCAGAGAACAGAGAAACCCATTGCCATAACTGCTTTAAAACTCTTGTTGCACCATATGCGTAAGTCAACACTAGCTGATAATTATGGCATTGTCTATATTGTACATGGTTTAGAAAATTTTGAAATCTGTAACAGATTTAGTTAGTTGGCAATGTATTGATCTCCATACAATATCAACAAATGGTGTTTTGTTATCGACATTATACTGAAGTAGAATAATGTGTTTAGGTGCAGGAAGTGCTGCTCTGTGTTGTACTGTTCGCCRTCATGTTGCAAGAAGGCCTGGGTTGACTATCACTCGATTGAATGCTCTCTTCTTCCAGTTCTTGATATCGTAAGTGTATCTTGCCTTTATATGCTTTTAATCTTTGCTCATACAGCACTTACTGTGCACTCGCATRAATATCTTGATGGTCTTTAAGTTTTCAATGATAACCCGAGGAGGATATTCCTTATCTTATGTAAATTTGCAAGCAGAGCCATGTCAATGAGCAAAAATTAATAAGCAACAGAAAAAGTTCACTTTTTCTTGATGGTTAATAGTTTTTCACAATAAATCATGTTTGTTTTTAGATGGATACTTTTACACACTTGTCTCTCCGAGTACTACTGACCGCTGGGCCAAATGAAATACTGGGTAAGTCAGTTTCATTGTGCCTATTAACTTATCGCTTAAATCACAAAGTGAGACATATTGTATTTCTATACTTTGATAGGTATTCTCAAAGACTTTGCTGCAGCTTCAAAGAACAAAGAAACACCAATAGAGTCTATAGTGACTGAMAGCTCRTCAAATGCCTCGTACCCTACTGGYTACATCTCTGTATTTTCTTTGGTCACTAACACTGAGCTTCAACCAGTCAAAGCGCTCATGACATATTCATTGGTATGTGAAATTAGCTCCTTTTAAGTTATTAAAATAACTTATCACTAGTCTTTATTCACTATCTTTTTTTAATTTTTTTGTTAGAATGCTGCATTTCTGATGGAGTTTCTTGAAGACTCTGCAATGCTGACCAAAGCCCAAAGACTTCGCTGTCAGGGYAGTGATATAAACTTTAACACAGGGCAAACTGAACTTGATTCTGACGATGACAGTGAAATCTCTTGCGACTCTTGTCCAAGTTGTGAACAAGAAAGAACAATTTCAAATAAAAGAACTCGCTCTGAAGCCACCAGTGAACTGAAGTGCACGAAAATGCCTCTGGACAATTCACTGAAATGCAGCARGATATTAAATTCATTGGGACTATCAAATGAGGATTTGTTGAATACTTTAACTGAGGAAATAGTTGGTTCRCTGCTGTTACACCACCAACAGCAAATGCCATGTAACGTACATGCTATAACAGCAATAGTTTCAACAAGCTCTAGTGATGAAGAGAACGATGATGAACTTACTGGTTTGGCATCACCTGGACAAGTTATTACCAGGGAACAAAGACGAATTGCTTCTGCAATYTACCCTACAGGCTCACTAATGAATCATGCGTGTGACCCTGACATAATTGTAAGGTGAGTGTATATGAATTAAAAACGTTTTCAAGTGCAATTCAGGAAAGTAAATGTTAGCCACTTGGTGCAAGCAAAGCAAAATGCTTTCAGCAGCTGTTTTCCAAGTCGGGTTTATTGTTTTTTTTTTTATGGCTATTTTTACGTGTTATTTGGTTAGTACTTTTTTACCCTTTTTGCCTTTGCACTCTAGCAAAAATTGTCATTATATACAAGTTTCACATTTAATTACTCTTAATTGAGATGGTGTAGAATAGAAAAACGTATATAAAACGTTGTCAAAAGAATGCAAACCTTGAGCTAGGCGTTAAACTTGACCTTGATGTTGTGTTGAGCTGCGGTAAGATCACGACTAGTCTGCATGTCTACACCATGTATTCTCACCATGTATTGTAATTCTATCTTTTTAGTTTCGTTAATGATGTTCTGGTGGTAAGAGCTACTCATAATATCTCTCCAGGATCACCTATCAACCACTGCTATGGTATGTTTTATTGTCCCTTACATGTAAACCACACACACACAAAGTAGTTTCCAGAAGGCCATGTGGACGCGCTAACTATAACATTGTATGCTGGTATTTTCAGGTCCTAATGCCAGTAGGATGCCCAGAGAGGAGAGGCAAAAGGTCTTGTTCAAGCAGTATTTCTTTACCTGTCAGTGYTCMGCKTGTACAAGGTATGCCAATAGAACTGTTAATTCAATTCCCCACTCCTTCGTCAGTCAACCACGCATCCAAGGAATACCGGGAGAGGGAATTAACATTTCAATTATGTCAAAGTTATGACATTTCTCGGCTCGAGATATYATAGACAAAAAAGTCAACTGAAGTTAATTCCCCCGCCTCTTCGTGGTATGATGTTGTTGATACAGTGTTCAATCCYCGGCTATAATGYGTTAATTGCCCGGCCAAGCCCTAGGGTGCGGGATATCAGGGTACTGATGCATGATACCATTGATACCAGTTTCTTATTTCCAAAATGTCATCATTTTCTCCCCAGGGATGAAGAGATGGAAAATCGTCTTCTTTGTTTCTCTGCCTTTGCTTGTCAAAGCTGCAAAGGACCCATTAAACAAAACATCATGGACATGTCAGTCGGAAGATGCAAAGACTGTAATCTTGAAAAATCCCTGGAAAATGATCTGCGTCTTGCTCGAGAAGCAGAGTTGTTATTCTGCAAAGGGATCAGACTGCTTGAGAGGGTTGGAGTCCATGAAGCTTTACAGGTGTTCTTAGAGTGCTTACGGATAAGACGACAGATCTTGTACCAGTACAACAAAGACTTGGCGGAAACTCATGACGCAGCTGCTAGGTACGTTAACACAAAGTATAGACAAGAAATAGTGATGATGATGATGATTGGTGCTTATATATGATGATGATGTTCTCAATATTCGAAAAATCMCATACATTCGTTTTGCAACTAGTATTTTGTAGTCTTTTTTTTCATGTTATTATTACCAATAAAGATGATACATCAGAATATAATTAATAAAACCTGATTGATTTATTCTCAGATGTTACGCCATGATTGGTGATTACAAGAAGGCCACCCATCACTGTTTACAAAGCTCTGAAGCAGTTGAAAAAGCCTACGGGTCGTCGAGCGTTGAATACGGACATGAACTTCATAAGCTTTCTCAATTGATGTTTAACGACCAGCAAGTCAAGAAAGCCCTGGTTATGGTCGATAAAGCCATTAACCTGCTCGGGACACATTATGGTCGTTGCCATCCCGATGTAGAAGAGCTTGATGAAATGAGGAAATGCTTGGTTTCTGTGAAYGGAGGAAGTCGYTGAATCTTCATGGATAGTTGATTGTTACTTACCATCGATATGGTCAATCGGTACTGTAGTATCCTCTACCTAACAAACTGGCTTGGACCATGGCTATCCCATAATGCTTTGCTCTTGTACTACCAGAATCCTTTGTGGGAATTGTGTGGACTTGATGTGATAAATAACTTATTAAGCTGAATTAGAYCATCGTATGCAACCTGGCCCAGTCTTTAAAACATAGCTGCGAGATTCAWAGTAATTGTTTATTAGCTCTACCATAGTTGTAGCCCTGTTTAAATATGACTTAGGCATGTTGCATGCGATGTGATAGTTGATGGTTGTAGGAAAACGTTTTTCCGTCTAATTCGGCTTTTAGACAGGTCTTTGTAGTCTTTTTAGTGAAATATAGTTTAACTTGAAACTACGAAAAGAAATTCTGGAAATATTTGGGCAGACAAGTATTGGCGAAACACAGTTAAATAAAACAAAACAACAAAAAACAAAACCCAAGCGTAGTCGAAGGCTGCGTTTAAGTTTATAACATAAACATAGTAAAAGTAAAAATATATTATAGATGTAGACTATATATGCAGTATCAAAGATACTTAGAAAAAGAAGATGTACCTATTTATAAAATTAATTTCTACTCAGACATTACAACCCCCTTGAGTTATATCATTTAATTATTCATACTGAGGTCAGGGAGTTGGCAAACCATCATTTAGATGCCAGATTTTTTTTTCTTGTGTTTTTCTGGCTATTTTTATTTTTGATAAAATTCAATTTAGTTAGGATGTTTGTTTTTTTTCGCTAGTCAGGTAGATAATTGTAGACCTGATGGTGATTTTTTTTAATGCTCACATTGAGCAGGAGTGAAATAATAAAAAAAGATGAATCAGAGAMAGTGTTTACAAATAAAGAGTTACAATAACAATCTTGTATCGTCTCCTTAGAATTCAAACAGAATATGYTTTTCTGGGAATTTGTTGAAGAAAGTTGAAGTAAAGGAACTCGTGTTGTTTACGTGTGAATTTTTTTGTTTTTGTTTTTATTTTTGTAAAGGAACTGGTGTTGTTTACGCGCAGTTTTTTTATTTTCGTTTTCATATTTGTAGTTTCTGTTGTTTTTGTCGTTTGTTCGTTTTGCGATGTTCCATAATTGTGCAATTAATGCGAGCATTGTCGGGATTTTGAAAACACCGATTGAAAATGTCCACCTTTTGTCCCAAAAGTCACAATCGGGTAGTTCGTGGCTATTTACTGCGCCGTTTACACGAGCAATTTTTCCTTGACAAGTTTCTTGACAAAATTGTCCGTCTAAATGGTCAACAAGTTTTCCTTGACAATTCCATCCTTGACAATGTTCCTTTGCTCGTGTAAACGCAGCAACTCTTTCGCCAATGCCATGGTGCATCTCGGTAAAGTTTGCGGACGGTTGGCAGTTATTGCCATTGAGACCATCTATATGAACATTTGAAATGTTCCACAAACACGAAAACTATACATACAAAGCCTCAGTCTCTTCATTCTATTATCTTTGTAATTACAAAAACAGGCTATTTTTGATCTTCCAGTTCAATGTCACTATCAATTTTCGAAAAATTCAATACTCGCACAATAAGCGTTTTCAGCAGGATAATAAGCCATGCCACTCCGAATAATCAATGCTTACTAAGCCTTGACGCTGTAGTAGATTATAAATGCAATAGCTGTTAAAGTTATGATAACTACAATCAACAAACAACACAGCTTTTTCCGTTGCTTTTTCTGGTGGTATCTTGCAGCCTGAAAAGATAGTCAAATAGTCTTACTCACAACGAGTCGTTTGCCCACTAAGGTCGCATGTACTTAAAGTTAACTTCCTCTGCAGGCGTTTCCTCTCTTACCTATTTTTCCACAGCGAACTCGAATGAGTGTTCGCGCTCCGGAAGACGACTTTCGAGTGAAGGGGCACGGACGATATATGATTTATTCGATCGAAAAACTGGAAAAGCGAGATGCATGCAGGGGAGCTACTTAACAATTCAAATTTATCACAACACTTCTCACATGTAACAAACTCAATGCAAATGACACCAATGTTTTGTTTCTGCTCATTGTTGTCTCATTTGTACGGATATTGATGAAGTCGGTACATGTGGGATTCCACGTTTGACCTTGGACTTTGGACGTTGGACTTGCCCTACTAAGGTTTTGCTGAATAATAATACTAGCGTAAAAGCGTGCGCATTAGTTTTTTTTTTTCCTTCTCTCAAGTAAAAGTTGGGTGGCCTATGAGTCAAACATGGAATCAAATCTGGATTGTAATCCTGATYCCAGAAATGCTCTGTATCAGTTCCTAGTCATGGGGCGAAATATCACCAGTCATTGGATGTGAATGAGTTGCTCTATACATTTCATGAACATACTTGAAGTTCCCTGAATGCAGCTTCGCATCTTATATTCGGATCTTCAACAACAGCATGGTTTCTTTCAATTTCATCTGATAACAAGTGGAGTTTAGGATTTTTTTTCTTACTATCTAGCCTTTCTAGAGGCTATTTTGACTTACCAATCGTTTCTCCTTGTTCACGAACCATTCTTGCTAAATCATTGAAAATKTCATTAACATCTAATATATCTGCCTGTTGGAAGGAAAAAATATTACTTGTCTTTTGAAGAAGATCAATATTTAATCAAATTGCCGATTGACAAGAATTACATAACCATATATGTAGTTCAGCCATAACTCCAAAGAAGATCTCAAAATTTCAAAATCCAATAACATTTTTTACAGTTTCTCCCTCATCCCTTAGGTATTTCTGGACATTAATTTCTCCTAAACGGCGAGATTTATCATGCCTCTCCTACTCCTTCTTTTCATCGTAAATTCTCCCTCGCGCTAGAGGGTTTAGATGTATATTTCTTCCTTCTCAGTGTTCCTCCAAATTGAAAATACGTCACATGTCGAAATCTATGATGATCTTAATGACAATATTTCTATCGTAAATACAGTTGGGATGTCTTTTTCAGTTCTTTGAAGAGGAGAGGGGATGGGAAAGGGCYTTCATTTATGGTATCGAGGGGAGGATGACATAATTTTTTCATTCATGTTTATGTGGTTGTAGGGGGATTAAAAGTAATAACTTTTTATGACTTTTATCGCAGTTTTTCGCTCATTTCCGCAGCCCCGTGATATTTAATTGCGTGGTCTGGTCTTGAAAAGCCGTCCAATATCATGAAGATGAAATTCGATATACATAATTCGACGACCAGGAAAAATTACAATATAAGGGTCCTTTAGTCATCGTCATAGCCCAAGTGTTATCTACACTATGGTCGAAATATASAGCACCGTTAAACGACCCCTCGTTAAGCGRTCACTCATGAATTCCCCAGATGTCGATATTCTCATATATTTACTGTAAACATAGAGGTGCAACTGACCTCAAGCTGAAGTACAGCAGCTTCTCTTTCGCGAATAATGGCTTCATCAACAGCTTTATGTCCTTTTTGCTTTGAGAGTTTTTCTTGCTTATTCGAATGCAAATTGTTTTTTGCTGAGTTTGGTCTTGACTTAAGCTCTTTAAGAAAGTTTCAAGAAAACATGACAAGGAATAAAACCATTAAAATAAGCAATAAGAAATACAGTCAACTCTCGCTATTACGGAAACCCTCGGTAGCGTAATTTAATGTCCTCAGTATCGCGAGTCCGCCGGTACTAACGAGAGTTACTTTCAGTCATTTCTTTCGCCGGGGATTCAGTGTTTTACTGTCCGCAATATCGAGGTGTCCGTTGTAGCGGGGTGTACGTAAGGCGAGAGATGACTGTATTCATGATAAACAAACTAAGCAAAACAAAATGTTTTACACAGTCATGTTATTTCAGTTGTTTTGTAATTGTAATCAAAAGAAGCGTGAAGTACACTTACAAGGCTGACTAATGGCTTTACTTGATCAGCTATTTTCTAAATAATAATAATAATAATAATAAAAAAAAACAAATCAGCAAGAGAATCAAAGAAATCAAAATATAGATACCTGAGTAGTCATGTTGTTTAATAGAGCGGATTTCGTATGAGTGGGACACCGTTACCGCACGGTTACCGCACAGTTACCGGACCTGGCCTTCACAATTTTGGTGAACCAATGGGGCMCTAGAATTTGGTTACAGAACGATTACGGTCACAGTACAGTACCGTCCGTTTCCCACTCATACGAAAATCGCTCTAATCATTTCCACGAGCAAGATCCGGGTGATCTCGCTATATCCCTTATTCTTGGCGTTCAAGTTACGTCATCACCGCAATATTGGATGAAGATCACAAAGCATTCCTCGTTAGTTTCTCTTGTTCATTCATCCAACATGGCGGCGATAGCTTTGTTCTTTATTTCTCAGAGGATTCACACGAAGAATGTATTGTTTTTTYCGATAAAATCCATACGAAATCTATGGACTGTATAACCTTRTCAACCYTTCATAGAGTCTCAGACGTTAACGTTTGCTTTTGGATCTCGTATCTACCTCCACCCATGTATGCTTCCGTCTAGGTTTGACAAGGTTTGACTTACATTTCGTACAGAGTAGTATTTTGAAACAGTCTCTCTGAAATCATCTTGTAGACGCTCAAGCTGTTTTCTATGTTGCGGCTGAAAAACATCAAATAAA